CTTTCAGGTGTGATTTCTATATTGCCCACACCTGTTACTTGCCCCAGGTGAGTTTACAGGAGCATCACATGCTTGTAACATTCTTATTTATCCGCAGTTGTGAAAGGGTGCCAATACTTTTGTCCAGCCCATTTTTGGAGGTTTGTGTGACATTATGTCGAATTTGCTTTCTTTCCTCCCTTTTTTTTGTTTTGTCCCAATACACACAAAGGGAATAAACATGTGTATAGCAAAACATGTGTTAATGCAATACGTTTCGTGAGAAATACATGATTTCCTGGAGAAATATATCAAGGGTGCCAACAATTTCGGCCATGACTGTATGTTGTCATTGGAAGATGAAGACAAATAGGGAGGATCTTCCTGACAGAGGCGGAGGTTCTGCCCAGCCCCCCACCCCCCTCCTTTGTCTGAACCTTAAAAAAAGGTTTTGCCTTTAGTTATACTTTAACTGATTGCCACCTTATCCCTGTACATTATAAATGATTAATGGGAAACAGAATGCTGCTGTATTGATCTCACCTGGTTACCTGACGTCTTAGTTATATTGTCCAAAAAAAGATTGGATTACTTGTCATCAGATGTGTAACTAAAATGTTCAAAACAAATGTTTAAGGTGAATCAAAAGCCAACTGTTTAAAGTGTTACTAAACCCAGGACCCTGCATTCACTATATCTGGTCTCCCACAGTACACAGAACATGGAAATGCAATTATTTTAGTAAATATAAACTGCTAAATACCTTTTCTCATCAGCAGTTAGAGCAGTCTTGTGACTTCTTTCAGTGTCCGGCTGAGCACTGGTTAATCCTGTAGGAGGAGTTTTCATTCTGCTCTGACTATCCTATGAGGATGCATAACCCCTGACCCTCTGTGTGTTGATTAGCCCTGTGCTGATCACATGCATCCCAAAGAAAAAAAAAACTCTCTAGCAATACACACTAAACTGAGTATGTGCAGAGTGACTCCTAGAGCTCTGTACTATCAGCAGATGGGTTGGGGACAGTAGAAGAAGGGGAGGATAAGATAAGACAGGATCAAACAGCCTTTTTACACAATGCAGAGGATTAACCCCTTAGGTTCCACAGTGAGTATAACAATCATGCTTTACTGCATATACAGACTGATTTTACTGTTGTGGGTTTAGTAATGCTTTTAAAGTGGTAGTAAACTCTCATTTTCTATATTTACCTGCAGATAAGCGTTATAGTAAGGCTTACCTGTAGGTAAAATGAATATCTCCTAAACGTACACCGTTAAAGAGCGATTCTGCCAAGCAGCAGCCCGTGATGTCACCGGTGCATGCGCTCTGAAGGAACGGCATACCCGTGCGTGTCGTCCCTTCAGAGCTGTCATCACAGCTTGGTCAGTCAGCTGGCCGGAGCTTGTGAATCCGGAAGGAAAAACTGTGTGGAGATGGAAGCCCTGTCAGCGATGACAGCGTGCCGCTGGAGGGCTTTGTTTCAAGGTCAGCCTCTCATATGCGGACATACTAGCACATTATGATATTGCCTTGCAGGGGAAAATTTTTATATATATTTTTTTTAAGAGCGTTTATAACAGATGGAGTGGTGAGGAGTTAGAACTGCTGTCAGGCTTGTATTGCTGTCTGTGTCTCTACTAGGAAAATGTACTCTTTCAGTTTGTCCTGGTGACCATTGTTACATGCTCTGAAAATGAAGAAGAAATCCAAGATTTTTAGTTGTTACCAGTAAAGGAATTGAGGGGAAATCTTGCAATGGGGACACTCGTTCTAGAGAAAACTGAAAGCACTTGCCTTGTTTTGGAGAGATTTTCTCTTGTTTTCTGTTCTATCTTCAGGACAGGAAGAGAAGGTAAAGTGGTTCTAAAGCCTAAAGCTTTTTTACCTCAATGTACACTCTGCATTAAGGTGAAAAAAACTGTGTCCAGAATCACTCCCAGCACCCCTCATACTTTCCTGAGCCTGATCTTGATCCAGCGCTGTGCTCAAGAGCAGCATCTCTCCCATTTCACAAGGCAGATTGATGGCAGCAGGAGCTGTTGGCTTCTGCAGCTGTCAATCAGATCCTGTGATGAGGGGGCAGGGCTGAGCCACACTGTCTGTGTCTATGGATGCACAGAGCTGGAATTGGGAGTGAGCCCACATGAGTGCCTCCATAGCAAGCAGCTTGCTATGGTGGGCACTCGGGGGGAGGAGCAGAGAGTGCTGGCGGAGGACCCCAGAAGAGGAGGAAAATCAGGGCTGCTCTGTGAAAAACCAGCGCTAAGAGCAGGTGCATATAATGTGTTTTTTCAAAATTAAGGTTCAGAATCACTTGATTCTCTACAATGGGGTATAGTTGGTAAATACAATTAACCATTCCCGACTGGTTTGGTCCTGGCCAGCAGTACTTTGCACTTTTAAAGTACGGAGCACCATTTCCTTTTTTGCCTTCCACGTTTATTTAAATGTCAGTTTGACATTTAATTCATTGCTATACAACACGGCTCAGCTGCGATGCATAGAAATGCAAGGTTTCCAAACTGCACTGCAGCTCAACCAAAGGTTGTGTTCAAGTGTGAATAGGGCACATAGAAAAGTATGAAATAGCCCTCTTCACTTTTAAAAAAACACATTTACCAGCCTATGATGTCAGTATTGTTCTCCCTTCACACTCAGTATTTGCAGATTTTGTTTTTTTTATCTTGGATTTAGGAACTGTCTGTCACTACCTGATCACTCAGCTGCTCCTCCTGCTAAAGCATTAGGCTGGTGGACTGCAGGGAAGCTGTCCTGAAGCCTCCTAAAATGAGAAAAGTGCACCAAAAAAAAAAAAAAAAAAAATTCCCCAAAAACCAAAAAGGCCTGCGGTTGTGTGTAACAGGCAGGAGAGAGGAGAGCGATGCCAACTTCATTTTTGGGTGAAGACCCACTTACATTCATTCATGCTGGGGCAGATGGAGCTGTCATAAACTGGAGATAGAGATGCCATTTTCCATACCTCCTATGTATACTTCATCAGGGCAAATTTTCTGGCAATTAACTTTTTAGTCAACAATGTGTAGATACATAATGACTATTGTTAGTAATGACAACTAAATTGGCATGAGACATACAAATGAGGCATAACCATAAGAAGAGATCCTGAAACATTTTAAATGCAAGTGATACATCCTAACTGACTAATAGAAAACCTACGCAGAACATGGGAAGACCTTAAAATTAAGGAAGAATAAAAAAGAACGGTCAGTCCAAATGTTTACCACAAGTCAGCCTTCAGCGCAGCATCATTAGCACTTTTAAAAAAGCTTTGCACTGCATTATGTATAGCTGCATACAGTAATTCACTTGAATGGCAGGCTGTACGTAACACCTGTGGCCAGAGGCATACTTAGAATCTTCACGGCCCTGGTGCAAGAAACCATAAAGGCCCCCCTGACCTGGGGTCATGTCCCCTCATGGTGGCGGAACGGTTGCAAATACTACCTTTGGTAGTTCCGCCACTGGTGTCAGTCGTTTTTTGTTATTTTTATTTTATGTACTTAATTTTTTTTTTTTCGCTTGATGCTTGATCGGTACAGACAAGGAAGGGACCGGTAAATTACACATTTGCTGGCCCCTTTTCCTGCTCTGCATCCTGAAAGCATCCTCCGCAGCAGCCTGCCAGAGAGGGGAGGGGGGAACCTGACAGCATAACGGGGAATAAAGGGGGTCCAGGAGAGTACAGGCAGTCTGCATTGAGACATGCCGGCTCTCAAGGAGGGGGCAATCACCAATGTGGGACCCCAAGTATTCCGCAAGAGATAGGGGAGGCAGGTGAATCAGATGTAGGCAAGTAACTCGAGCTCAGTGCCTTGTGCTGGCACCAGCTTCGGGCCCCCAACAGTGGTGGAACACCAGGGCCCAGTCATAAGTGTGACCTTTGCGACCCTGGTAGTTCTGCCACTGCCTGTGGCTCCCCAGGTGTAGGAAAGTTGTGTGAAATTATGCTAACCATATAAAATGTCTAAAAAAGAAAACCCCTATTGCATGAATACCTAATTATCTTCACATGCTGCATTAGTCACCAAAGTGATGTAATAGTCACTGCCATGCAATTAAGGGTATCTATTTTGATGTTTTGTTTTTTTTAATGCTTTCTCCAAACTTTTGTGAGGACACATTCACACTGGAAAGACGTGTTTCCAGCACCACAAGTGAAGGTGCTGCTCTTGCAAGATCTGCGGATGCCAGTAATGCTTCATGGTACTGCAAACGCAGTGCGTTTGCAACCACCAAACCGCATTGTACGGTACAATCTAAAAGTGTAGTGCTTGCACTAACTTTTGCATGGTTCCATGCATTTGGCATTCAAATGAATAGGATGCCAAAACCAGACTGCAAAGGAACGTGCCCTTTCCAGTGGCCCTGAAGGTTTCTACACCCCTGAAGCTTCTTATTTCAATTAAATTGTAACCCCAGCTATGGGCATTTATGGCCAGAATAGGAGAGGATCTAAACCTGCCAGGTTTCTGTAACTGTTTGTGGCTCTAGTAAGGGAGGTTCCACTCCTTTTCTTGGTGACAGCGTTGTAGCTGGTATGGGAAAGTAAGATAACACCAACACAAACCTGACAGAAGTTCTTGGCTTGGGATTGGTTCCCCACCCCAATTAGGGAAAAAAAATATATAGAATGTTGCTAAAAAAAAAACTGGCTTAATAACTTTTATAAGTCTTCGTCTTGGAGGACCAAGACTGGTAGTTTATACGAGTTATGTTGTATTCTTTTTCCTTTTTTGCTAGTTGAATGCTACTTATTGGATGCATCGCTTCATCCAGCTGTACACCCTCTATATCCATTTCACTGTGGACAATGTATTACAATCACTGTACAGGTCCTTTCAACCAGTTTTTTTAGATATATTGGAACATGTGCCAGCAATCTGTAAGAAGAACCTCAGTGGAGGATAAATGATTGTAAAAATAGAAAGAATAATTTTGGTTGGAATAGAAAACAAATACAATTTGTGGGATGTAAATGCATCTTCCCTTCTTTGCAGGAACGGATGTCGTAATTGTTAAAAATGGCAGAAGAATCTGTGGCACTGGTGCCTGCCTTGCCAATGCTCCTCTTCATCAGAATAAGAGTTACTTTGAGTTTAAAGTCCAGTCTACAGGTTGGTATACACTCATTATTGGCTAGTGCAAACTCAGGTGGAACAAAAGCATATACAGTACTTGGGCTTACTGAAAGCTTACCAATTCATTGATCAGTAGTGGACAAAGTTCAACATTTTTGTAGAAGCTATGTTAATAAACCATTGTGTGTAGGCAGAGACCTGGATATCACACATTTGGATTTTGCCTGAGGATTGTAATCGAGAAAAAAAAATTTGCATGCAACACCATCTATATCAGACATTAAACTTTTTTCCACAGAGGAACAACCCTCCAAACAATTTTTAGGTCTCAGGGAACCCTTGCTAAAACCAATTAATTGATGGCCAGTAGGAAGAATTCTCCATTTATTGCGTTGGTCAAAATTCCATGAAAGATAGTTGGCGTCATGCCACTGTCTTCCAAGTGGTGTTTGACCAAGAACTAGCCCCTTTAGATGGGAGGTCAGACAGCAACAGCTGAAGTAGTGCCTAGGATGCTCTGGAGGAACCCTTGTTGAGAATGACTGGTCTAAGCAGACAGGCAACTGCCACCTGTTTTCTGATTCCATTCAAAAAACAGAAAGGAACAGCGTGTCTCATAATGACACTTAAGATTTGTTATAGACAATTGATTGTATTTTCTATGAACTAGCCCATTTTTATGCCTCGGGTTCGTAATGCTTTAAAGTTAAACATATGTATCTAGAATATTGAATGATTCCTTCTGAATCAGCTAAAATTCAAGCCATGGGTGGTCCTGTCAGTGTCACCCTGCTTGACAAAAGTTGCTTATCAAAGGAGTCAGGTGTACAGTTGTTGACCGAACAGCGACTGCATCCAGTCAGGTGCAGTAACTGTTTGGGTATTCTGACAGCCAGCAGAGGAGATTCGTCTATGCATTCTGGTTAATGAAGATGGAGGAATCTATTAGATTTCTCTTGTTCGTTCTAGGTGCTGAACGAGAGACATTTATGTTTGTGTGGCTAGCCTTAACCTGGCCATACATTATACAATTTTCTTATTCAATTTCATTTAGATTTACCTTCAACTATGTAGTGCAAGGCATAGAAATTGAAAGTGTTTAGGTTTGACCTCATAATATATGGTTTTAGTAAATCCGAAGGAAAATTGAACAAGAAACTTGTATAGTGTATGGCCAGCCTTAGATGCATTTCTGGTCATGCATATCTTGAATGGCTATAATGTACACCTATTGAGATTAGTACATCAGTGCATCGGGGAGTGAATAATCTGGAAGGACTGCATTCCTGTGCATGAAGACTATGCTGACCTGGGCACATTGTACCTTACAGCTCATCGTTTTCTTATAAAAAAAATACTGAGTATCTGGTTAAACACTTCTCCAGCTTCGCACTAATGAAAATGCAGCCAGCAAGATGTTTAAAGTATTCTTAGACAGGCCACAGACGGGCTGTTTATCGGTCGCATTTTCGGCCAATAAACGAAAAAATCGGTCAGCCCCGTTGCCGATGCTGCCACCAATGTTCACGAAAAAACGGCCGTTTTTCGTGGATTTTCCAGCATGACCGATAAAAATAAATGTGAAGATCCACGAAATATAGGCCGATTTTTCGTGTAAACGACCCATCTATGGCCTGCATTAGTGCTAGGGCTATTGTGAGGTAATGATGAATGTGATATAGAAGTTAAAAAATATAACAAGACCATGGGATCTAAACTAAAGCTTCCCTACACAATAGGCATTATTCACACAGAGCTGTTATCTACACAGTGCAGATTTGTGAACACACTGGGTGATTGAATTACTATCTAGACAGTACGATTAAAAGGTAAATTCGCTAAGATAAAGAGGTCATAGTAATGCGGGGTACACACGGACTAAAAACTGTTGGTTCTGCAGGAACCAGACGACTTTTGACCTGTGTGTACAGCTCCCTGTGTGACAGAAGCCGGTCTCATGCATGGCTTCTGTCAAATGGGCATGCTGGAAAACCAACATCTGATTGGCATCTGATCAGCGCTGACAGCCAATGGCTGTGAGCGCTGATCCAAGTGTGTCCTGGTGTGGGGGCGGCCCCCCTGTCAGAACACAATAGCATAGCTGGGTGATCGCTGTACTAACATCACTTGTGTTAGTACAGTGATCAGTCAGGTGTTTTGTTTTTTTTTCCTTTTCTTTTCTCATACAGCCCACTTTTAGTGTGTACCAGGCTTAAGTGCAGGATTACCTGGTGAGGAAAAAACCACCACATCTAAGGATTGCCAAACTGCAATATATACAATTTGCCAGCTAGTAGTAAGAAAGAAAAACTGCTGTTTGTCAGCAGTGTCATGAACATTAATTGTATATCTTTAACTAAATAATTAGGACAACTTTGGGGATTAGTGGGCAAGGTGCAGTAACCACCTTTCAGCAGCTGAGAGGTCTCTAAGAAGTACCAGATTGTTTGACATTATTAAGGCAGGTATCAAAATAAAGATTAAGTTTTGTAAAGACTTAGGCAGGTCATAGATTGTGCAATTTTCTTTCTTCCACCATGGGTTGAAGGAAAGAAAATTGCTCAACACTGACTGTGTTTATGGAGGAATCCTTCCTGCAGCACTATTGTGTTCTGCTAGTGGGGAGACTTCCCTGCCGACTAAACACAATGATTAGTGTTGCCGGCTATAGCCAGGGTCACTAATAAGTTGGGAAAAACCTGACAGGCTGGTTGTATGCAAGTCATTCGATAGATCAACTTGTGTACAACCAGGGTGCCCATACATGGGTTGAAATTCATCTGGTCCCTGGTGAACTGACTGAATTTCAATCAATGTATGACCAGCTTTACTTGAGTTATCAAGTCTTTTAACTTTTGTACTGATATATTCTCTCTGTCAAGTGATTGTACTGCACAAGCTGTCTAAGGGTATGGTAATGATGTACGATCTTCTTGCCATAAAGATCTGCGCTAAAAAAGTGAGTGATGCACGTATTTACATTATATGTGCATGGGTAAAAATTATTCTAGCTCCAAGAATGCCAAATATTCAGTATGATCTACCATTCAAGGGCAAGGTCTAATTTACTTGTGTAAAATACTGACCAATAATGCCGAATTTTGTATTTTATTTTTATTTTTTTTGGCACTGGTTTACTGATATTTATGCATCTGTGTGTATAGGCTAATTAAAAGCAAAGGGTTGCATTCACATCGGGTAAAGAAAAAAAATGCCTTAACTCCTAAGAACATGGTGTTTTTGGCACCTGTGTGCAAGAGCCCTTTGAATTGTCAAATTCTGCTTTTATTCAGGAAAATTTTTTTATTTATATTTTTTTTTATTATGTTTTTGTAAACCTTTTTTTTTTTTTTTTGGGAAAAAAAAAGCATGTTTGTATCAACAATTTGTTTTTCAATTCCTAATGATTACAGGTGTGTGGGGAGTTGGTGTTGCAACCCAAAAAGCCAACCTTAATCAAATCCCATTAGGAAGAGATGTGCACAGTCTTGTGATGAGAAACGATGGAGCTATTTATCACAACAATGAGGAGAAGAATAGGTTACCTGCCAACAACCTTCCACAAGAAGGCGATGTAGTGGTGAGTGCACCCCTTTGCACTGGGTACTATAGTGTTTGTACTTCTACTTTGCCAGAATGTTCAATTTTTCAGTTTAGCCTAGAATTCTACTTCTACTAACTAGTCTTAAAGTGGTTGTAAAGGCCCAAGGAGTTTTACCTTCATGCATCCTATGCATGAAGGTAAAAAAACCTGTGTGCAGCTTTGGAGGGATTTCCTCTCACTTACTGTTTTGACTATGGGACAGGAAGTAAAAGGAATCTCCCCATTGTGCCACAGATAGCAAAAAAACTGATAGGGGTTGCACAAAGCAGCTTTAACCCTCCTCTTCTCTAGTTCCCCTGTTGGTGCTTCTGGCTCCTTTCCCCACTTGTAGAGGCTCGTTCCTGAGCCTCACTGTCTGCATCTATTGATACAGACAGCAGGACTTGGGCCCCGCTCTCTCCTCACTGGCTGTCTCTCAGCCAATGAGGAGGGAGAGACCCAGGAGAGCCATTGCTATCGTGCACATTGTTTGATTGAGACCAGGCTCAGGTAAGTATTATGGGGCTTAGGGGTGAGCTGCGCACTAAAGGTTTTTTTACCTTCATGCATAGAATACATGAAGGTAAAAACCTTCAGCTTTTGGAACCACTTCAATAGTTTGGGCTCCTCAAGCTTTTGGACATCTCTACACAATTCTCCAGTATAATTCTTGCAGCAGTGGTAACATCTTGTTAAATATATATTTGGAAGGGATTTGAGTCCTGGTAGTCACATGGTATTCGTTATATGCACAAACTATAACAGCCAGTAATGTTTAAAGTAGTGTACCCTACAAGCAGATCAGGGGCAGTCCAAACAAATGCTATCAATAGTTGCATATACTATATTGCCAAAAGTATTGGGCCAGCCCTCCAAAGTATTGGATTCAGGTGTTCCAGTCAACTCCATGGCCACAGGTGTATATAAAGTCAAGCACCTAGGCATGCAGACTGCTTCTACAAACATTTATGAAAGAATGGGTCGCTCTCGGGAGCAGAGTGCCTTCAAGTGTGATACAGTGATAGGTTGCCACCTGTGCAATAAGTGCATCCGTGAAATTTCCTTGCTACCAAATTTTCCACAGTCAACTGTTAGTGGAATTATAACAAAGTGGAAGCAACTGGGAACAACGGAATGTAAAATGATAGAGCGAGGTCAGTGCATGCTGAAGCACACAGTGCGCAGAAGATACCAACTGTATGCCGCGTCAATAGCTAAAGACCTCCAAACTTTGTGTTGCTTTCAGATTAGCACAACAGTGTGTAGAGAGCTTCATGGAATGGGTTTCCATGGCTGGGCAGCTGCATCCAAGCCTTACATCAAGTGAAATGCAAAGCATAGGATGCAGTGGTGTAAAGCACGCCACCACTGGACTCTAGAGCAGTGGAGACGTGTTCTCTGGAGAGACGAGTCACACTTCTGTGTCTGGCAATCCGATGGACCTGTTTGGGTTTGGCAGTTGCCAGGAGAACGGTACTTGCCTAACTGCATTGTGCCAAATGTAAAGTTTAGCGAAGGGGGGGATAATAGTGTGGGGTTGTTTTTCAGTGGTTGGGCTTGGCCACTTAGTTGCAGTAAAGGGAACTCTTAAGGCGTCAGCATACCAAGACATTTTGGTCAATTTCATGCTTCCAACTGTGTCCTGTTCCAACATGACTGCGCACTAGTGCACAAAGCAAGGTCCATAAAGACATGAATGAGCGAGTTTGGGGTGGAGGAACTTGACTGGCCTGTACAGAGTCCAGACCTCAACCCGATAGAACACCTTTGGGATGAATTAGAGTGGAGACTGCGAGCCAGACCTTCTTGTCTGACATCAGTGCCTGACCTCACAAATGCTCTTCTGGAAGAATGGTCAAACATTCCCATAGACACACTCCTAAACCTTGTGGACAGCCTTCCCAGAAGAATTGAAGCTGTTATAACTGCAAAGGGTGGGCCAATTCAGTATTGAACCCTACGGACTAAAACTGGGATGCCATTAAAGTTCATGTGCATGTAAAGGCAGGCGTCCCAATGTTTTTGAAAATATAGTGTGTTGGAGGCCCAAGCCTGGCTTTCAAGGCTCACTCTGGCTTCCTTTTCTCTTTATAAAGAAGGTAGTTCAGGCCAAACATAAGAGAGGCTTGATATCCTATATACAGCATATGTCTTATAATTGAAGCATACTGCATAAATTACCCCAAAAGTTGGTTGGGAGTGGTATGTAGGCAAATTAGATGAGGAACGTGGGAGGCTGCTCTGGCTCTGCTTCCATTGGATTACTCTTCCTGTCTAAAAACGTACACAGATTTTTATTCTTCGTATCTATAAAACCCTGGAAAATATATCCACTTCCGGACCAGTGACGTATCCATACTTCGCTGGACATTCAATGGTTATCCCAGAGTGATGCCTGAGTGAAATAACCCCTACCCCCAACTTGCTTCCTGGCTCTCTTGAGATCACTTTCGGGCCTTCGCTTCCAGTTTACAAGGAATTTTCTGCACCATTTTTAAAAATTTGAAAGCATTATTATTTATTTATTTCAGGTACTTACAGTCAGGTCCTTAAATATTGGGACATCGACACAATTCTAACATTTTTGGCTCTATACACCACCACAATGGATTTGAAATTAAATGAACAAGGTGTGCTTTAACTGCAGACTGCCAGCTTTAACTTGAGGGTATTTACAGCCAAATCAGGTGAACGGTGTAGGAAGTACAACAGTTTGCATATGTGCCTCCCACTTGTTAAGGGACCAAAAGTAATGGGACAGAATAATAATCATAAATCAAACTTTCACTTTTTAATACTTGGTTGCAAATCCTTTGCAGTCAATTACAGCCTGAAGTCTGGAACGCATAGACATCACCAGACGCTGGGTTTCATCCCTGGTCATGCTCTGCCAGGTCTCTACTGCAACTGTCTTCAGTTCCTGCTTGTTCTTGGGGCATTTTCCCTTCAGTTTTGTCTTCAGCAAGTGAAATGCATGCTCAATCGGATTCAGGTCAGGTGATTGACTTGGCCATTGCATAACATTCCACTTCTTTCCCTTAAAAAACTCTTTGGTTGCTTTTGCAGTATGCTTTGGGTCATTGTCCATCTACACTGTGAAGCGGCGTCCAATGAGTCGTGAAGCATTTTGCTGAATATGAGCAGATAATATTGCCCGAAACACTTCAAAATTCATCCTGCTGCTTTTGTCAGCAGTCACATCATCAAATACAAGAGAACCAGTTCCATTGGCAGCCACACATGCCCACGCCATGACACTACCACCACCATGCTTCCCTGATGAGGTGGTATGCTTAGGATCATGAACAGTTCCTTTCCTTCTCCATACTCTTCTCTTCCCATCACTCTGGTACAAGTTGATCTTGGTCTCATCTGTCCATAGGATGTTGTTCCAGAACTGTGAAGGTTTTTTTAGATATCGTTTGGCAAACTCTAATCTGGCCTTCCTGTTTTTGAGGCTCACCAATGGTTTTCATCTTGTGGTGAACCCTCTGTATTCACTCTGGTGAAGTCTTCTCTTGATTGTTGACTTTGACACACATACACCTACCTCCTGGAGAGTGTTCTTGATCTGGCCAACTGTTGTGAAGGGTGTTTTCTTCACCAGGGAAAGAATTCTTCGGTCATCCACCACAGTTGTTTTCTGTGGTCTTCCGGGTCTTTTGGTGTTGCTGAGCTCACCAGTGCGTTCCTTCTTTTTAAGAATGTTCCAAACAGTTGTTTTGGCCACGCCTAATATTTTTGCTATCTCTCTGATGGGTTTGTTTTGGTTTTTTTCAGCCTAATGATGGCTTGCTTCACTGATAGTGACAGCTCTTTGGATCTCATCTTGAGAGTTGACAGCAACAGATTCCAAATGCAAATAGCACACTTGAAATGAACTCTGGACCTTTTATCTGCTCATTGTAATTGGAATAATGAGGGAATAACACACACCTGGCCATGGAACAGCTGAGAAGCCAATTGTCCCATTACTTTTGGTCCCTTAACAAGTGGGAGGCACATATGCAAACTGTTGTAATTCCTACACTGTTCACCTGATTTGGATGTAAATACCCTCAAATTAAAGCTGACAGTCTGCAGTTAAAGCACATCTTGTTCGTTTCATTTCAAATCCAGTGTGGTGGTGTATAGAGCCAAAAATGTTAGAATTGTGTCGATGTCCCAATATTTATGGACCTGACTGTATATAGTGCCGTCAATTTACGGAGCTCTTTTCATATATATTGTACATTCACATCAGTCCCTAACCCCCTCAAGGGGTGTACAATCTAAGGGCCCTAACTTACATTCATACGTACACATACTAGAGCCAATTTAGACAGGAGTCAATTAACCTACCAGCATGTCTTTGGAGTAAAAACACAGATCTTGGTGTTTTGAAGGCTTTCAAGTGCTGGGGTCACCAAATTGCTCCATAGAGAGTACCTGTCGTGTGTATTGCTGTCACAAGGGATGATTACATTCCTTGCAACAGCAATGAAAGTGATATAAAAAAAAAACTAAAGTGACAGTGTAGAAAAAAAATAATCACTTCTCTGCCATTTGGCTAAGATCAAGTGTAGTATCTATTCTTATTGTCCAGTTGGGGTGCTCAGCCATCATTCTTGCCTTTTGGCGAGGATGGCTGGCCGCCTTTATAGTACCCCTGCTGGTATGATGGGGGCTCTGAAGGCTAATACCAGCTGGAAGAGAAACCGAGGCACCCACAGGCTGTTGAGGCCCGGGAGTAATTCCCCTGGGAAAACCAGATGGGCCCAGTTCCTCCTGATTTTGAATGGGTCTACCTTGTCTGGCCTGGGGCTGGGGAGGCAGAAAGTCCACAGAGCAGTGCTCCCTGGGAGTGGCTGCCCCAGGGGTGCTCTTAGTAACACATGAGGGTGGGATCCCATGTGTGAAAAGTGCACTTGGTAACTGCTTCAAACACTTTATCTGCACTGCTCCTTTTAGGGCTAGGCCTTTTGGCTAAGTCTAGGGCAATTTTTTTGCTACAGGCCTTAGGGCCTAGCCAATGCACAATTGCACGTCAACTTATTTATTTCTTTTTCCTCACTGTTTTTCACCTTTCACTTATATGTGTGTTTTTTTTTCTCACTTGAATGAAGGGTGTGAGTCCTTGGGCCTGCCCTGAAGTCTAGGGGGGGATGTGTGGCCATTAGGTTCCTTCCTACCCTGTCCCTGGGGGGGGGGGTCTCTTCGGGAGAGCTCCCTGACCTAGTGCTTGGTGGTCGGCTTCTGCTAGCCACAAGGAAAGGGGTCCACCAGGCCTTTTGGCTAAGTGGACCATGTTGGAAACACTGTCCCTGTCAGGAGCCTTGCACCCTTGGATGATCAGGATAGAGGTCTTATCCCTTCGGGGGGTGGACAAAAGCACACCCCTAAGTGCACTTTTTTGTGTTGGTGTTTTGCACTTGCACATTTTTTGTTCGCTTAAGGGTTTTAGTTTTTTACACCTCCACGGACTAGGGAAAAAAAAATGTGATGACTCCATCCCTAGGAGTTGCGTCTTTGACAGCCTGGGATCAAAGGAACTAAGTTGAGTGATGTTGGCCATCATCAACTGGATGTGTGGTGGCATCTAGTGGCAAAGGAAACCTCTGATGGGGACCGCTCCGGATTGAAGGTTAGTATTGCAGTAAAATCTGCATTTTTTTTTTTTTTTTTTAAGTTTTTGTTTTGTTGGGAAAAGGATTTAAATTTTTGATAAAAAAATTGTGCTTTGAGTCCTTTGTGGTAATAGAGTTGTTTGGGACAAAAAAGCTATACTTTTTCAATTGTGCTTTTCTTACATTGTAAAATTTGGCTGATACAAATTAACATAGTTGCATATGTCTATTCTGTAGTTGTTCATTTTTATTTCACCATTAAACACTGAATAAGTTGTCCTATTTTCTTTCTTTAGGGCATTACTTATGATCATGTAGAACTAAATGTGTATTTAAATGGAAAGAATATGCATTGTCCTGCATCTGGCATAAGAGGCACAGTCTTTCCTGTTGTATATGGTAAGTTTTATGTTTCAGGTTAATATCCCTGTTGTCACTCCTATGTCTTACCATGTCCTTTGTCTTCCGCAGCTCGCAGTAGTTTCCTCCTGCTGACGTCTTTGTCACTATAGAACATAGTAATCACAGTACTCACATATGGGTCAGTGGAAGCAGACTTTGGGGGACAATTTCTCATCAATAGAGTGATGTCAAGCGTAAATACTTAGGCTTCATTTACATGGGTGGCAAAGGCTGGCTGCTAGCAAGAATCTGTGGATTCTTGCTGGCAGAGCTAAATGCTGCATGCACACAGTATATGCAAACAGTAATGACTGTCAGTTTTTTGCTTCATACGTATCCGTGGCTGCGTTGCTGCTGTTCACCTGTAGCCACTCTTGTAAGTGGTTATATGTGATTAGAGTCTCTGAGCAACCCTGGATACAGACCGTGTGTGTCCAGGGAAGGCATTTCTTTGGAGTTTGTGGCTGTACATTATTGGCTAGTTTGCATGTGGCCATAGCACAGAGTGCAGCCACTTCCAAAGGCAGTGCTTAGCCGCCTCTGAACGCAAACGCTTCACCCCTGTCCCCCTTATCCACCTGTTCATTTGGTATTTAGGATTCACAGGCCGCTTTATTATTCTCTGCCTTATATGTCAATGCTCCAAATCTAGATATATGCAGCGGGTAAAATAAGTATTAAATACATCACCATTTTTCTCAGTGAATAGATTTCTAAAGGTGCTATTGACATGAAAGTTTCACCACATGTCGGTAACAACCCTTGCAATCCATACATACATAGAAGCAAAACAAACAAGTTCAGAAATTAAGTTGTGTAATAAAATGGAATTACACAGGGAAAAAGTACTGAACACACTGTGTCCAAAATCCTTTGTTGGTAATGACAGCTTCAAGGTGCCTGCTGTATGGAGAAATTAGTTGCATGCATTGCTCAGGTGTGATTGTGGCTGATTCTTCCACACAAACAGTCTTCAAATCTTGAAGGTTCTGTGGGCCTCTTCTATGAACTCTGATGTTTAGTTCTTTTCATAGATATTCTGTTGGATTCAAGTCAGGTGATTGGCTGGACCATTCTAGAAGCTTTATTTCCTTTCTTTGAAACCAATTAAGAGTTTCCTTGGTTTGTGTTTGGGATCATTGTCTTGCTGATATGTCCACATTCTGAAAAATATGGTAGATATGGAAGAAGGGTGGTTTGTGTAACACAACAAACACTTTACTCCTGCGCTAGGAAAGGACTCAGTAGACCCAATAGGAATGTTCTGGAATTTTCTGGAATATGCACTGCTTGCTTGGCCTTGGCTCTGAGGAAGAGGTTGTGTCCTCGAAACGCGTTAGACAGTTGGTCATCCAGGGTTCCATCGTATGGACTCAGATGTTGTTTGGATCATACATCTTGTTCAGTTTGACATGCCTGTGTTAATATGTCCATTGTGAGTATGATACCTATTTTGTTCAATAAATTGTTTTAAACGATAATGCACTAGGTCGGTGCGCCCTTTTTCTGTTTCTCCATTTGTATCCAGTGGTTTGTGTAACACACTGAATTACCAGTTTCTGTATCATATTTCCATACTTAAGGGGTCAATTTATAAAACATTTCTTGAATGTATGTCACAAGTGTCCCTGCAGGTGCACACATTTTGCCCATATTTTCTCTAATATTATTTTTCTATGACTGTCAGCTTGTTACTCCATCTAGTGGGCAAAATGTGATATAATTTTCTGAAATAAATCAGAAAATGTACTGCTTTTTGGTCACTTATGTGGCTGATGATCATGGGAAATAGTATTGGCGAAATTACAGGGAAATTTTGTGCAGCCTCGAGGAATGCTCTGACAATCATTTAACAAATGTTTTATAAATAGATCCCTTTTACCTGGAAAAAAAAAGCTGAAATTTTTCCAATACTGTATTTTTCGCTCCATAAGACGCACCTGACCATAAGACGCACCTAGGTTTTAGAGGCAAAAAACAGGAAAAAAAAATTCTGAACCAATGGACTGCAGACATAGTACAGGAGATGACCAGAGACTGCGGACACAGTACAGGAGATGACCAGAGACTGCGGACACAGTACAGGAGATGACCAGAGACTGCGGACACAGTACAGGAGATGACCAGAGACTGCGGACACAGTACAGGAGATGACCAGAGACTGCGGACACGGTACAGGAGATGACCAGAGACTGCGGACACGGTACAGGAGATGACCAGAGACTGCGGACACAGTACAGGGAAAATACCAGGGACACAGTACAGATGACCAGAGACTGCAGACAGTGCAGGGAATGACCAGAGACTGCAGACAGTGCAGGGGATGACCAGAGACTGCAGACAGTGCAGGGGATGACCAGAGACTGCAGACAGTGCAGGGGATGACCAGAGACTGCAGACAGTGCAGGGGATGACCAGAGACTGCAGACAGTGCAGGGGATGACCAGAGACTGCAGACAGTGCAGGGAATGACCAGAGACTGCAGACAGTGCAGGGGATGACCAGAGACTGCTGACCTTTGGGGAGGGAGGGGGAGCGGGTACCTGAATTTGACAGGTACCCGCTCCCACTTCCGCGGAGTTGTCTTTCTCTCTTCTTCCTGCGCCGGCTTCTGTGACAGCTGGGTGCCCACTGCGCATGTGCGAGAAGCGCTGCGCTTTGTGAATGGCTCGGCGCCTTCTGGGACCTGTCATGTGTCCCAGAAGACACCGGACCATTCACAAAGCGAAGCGCGTGCGCAGTGGGCACCCGGCTGTCACAGAAGCCAGCGCGGGAAGACTGTACAGCGCTGGAGCGAGGAACAGGTAAGGCCCTGCAGGAGAGAACAGCTGAGCGGCCGGCCCGGTATTCTGACATGGCGGCGGCAGAAATACCGGACCGGCCGCTTTATATTCGCTCCATAAGACGCACTGACATTTTCCCCCCTTTTTTGGGGGGAAAAAAGTGCGTCTTATGGAGCAAAAAATACGGTAATTTAGAACAGATAAAATCTTACAGATCTCCTTTATGGTAAATTCCTGCCCCTATGATGTCATCACAAGTGGTTCAGTTTAGATACCATCAGCAGCAGTCTGTGGGTGGAATTGACAGGGTGCCCTGCGTGCCTTCCAGAGCACCCTGCCAACACCATCCACCTTCTCCTGCCACCCCCACCTGACACTTACCTTGTTCTCGTCCCATCTGAAACTGCTTATGCCTTCTTGTTTTGACACTCTTCTCATTCTCTTTATCTGACATTTAACGCTGCTCAACTTGTCTGTGTTCACTGCAGCAAGCTGTATCCTAGTTCTGTTGGCTTTCATTTGCCTGGGTGTTTTGTCAAAGTGCAAATCCTGGTGGCAGGAATCCACTGATTCTTACTGCTGGGTTTGATAGCTGCGAGTAGATAGCTCTCCACAGCTATCCACTTGCAGCTTTTAAACCCAGCAGCAGGAAACAGTAGATTCCTGCTGCTGGGATTCACACCAGGGCAAAATGCCCATGTAAATGGAAGCTTATTCTGTTGTCTTTCAGGGAGCTGTAAACATTGTGCTCCTAGGTACAGGACACGCTGCACTTTGGCAAACCAAATGGCAGGAAAACAAACAGCGTGGAAGATTGGGGAGGCTTTGTGAGCGGTGACCCGGACAGCAGCGAACTCCCCTGTCATCTCTGCAGCAGTATGATATCCCTGTGATTCCAAGCTGGTAAAGCAGCAGCTAGAAGGGCAGGAAGTTAATAGGAAATAAATGACAGGATCTTCTTCACAGAAAACAAGGGCCTTTTTGCTGGATCCACCTTTAAAGCTGTGTTGGTTATCATTGCCAATATACAACATCTTATAAGCATGGCCCAGCCCTTGAGCACCTCTGTTGGTCATTTTAAAGGACCATAAATAACTACACTTCTAAAATTGCCTACAACGGGCACGTAAACATCAGAACTTGACCACGAAACAATAGAAGAAGGTGGCTTGATCTGATGGATCAGTGGAACCTTAACAAACTAATGGAATGCACAATGGACCACAAGACATGGTAATGCATCGACATGTATTGTTCATTGCACTGCTAAGAGAAAAAAAAAAAGGTGCATGTCTGTCTTCAAATCTATTGTGGTGTGTTGGCAACCCTTTCAAATGATTGGGCTGTTCTAATATAATATGTGTTAACACACTGGAACTTGCTGGCTTGGTATAAATTGGTACTTTTAATATCTAAACATTTGTGAAGGAACAATTGGATCACATAAAGATCTTTATTTTCCACCTGATGTTTACTTCCATTTGTAAACCCGAAGTCTAAAATTCCATACAACATTTTATATGTTAATGCAGTTTCAAAGGTAATTTGCTATACTTTTAAATCTGCAGACTTCAGTAAAATAATACATGGTGACCCAGATTAATTAACACTGAGTAATAATTTGAAATTACTTTTTCAAATAAACTCATACATTTTAGATAAGCCCCTATGAGAAAAAAAGGAGGGAGATGATACAAGTCATGACATACATAGATAGATTGATGCATACAGCAGATGTGGCATAGTAGATTAACCCGTTGTGTCCTTGTTCTTCTTGCAGTGGACGACAGTGCAATCCTGGACTGCCAGTTCAGTGAGTTTTACCACACTCCTCCACCTGGATTTGAGAAGATCTTATTTGAGCAGCAGATTTTCTAAGAACTGGATCTCTACACTTTTCCCAAAGCTGTTGATTACTATTTAAGTTGCACGATGCATAGAGAACATGTGCTTTGTATTTTGATCTCAGTGGGTGCAGGCCTTTCAGATCTTGTGTGTGTAAGTATTTTACAAAGTATTGCCTAGCTGCAAATGCCACTGCTCACAAAGCCGTGTAGATCTTATCTGATATTTTTGTGATATATATGGTAGATTTTGGCAAATTGTTAGTGTTGCTAATTGTAAATAGGATATTTTAGCCAGTGATTTAACGTGAACTTGTTGGCCATTTTAAACTTGTAAAAATAAAACTTCTGCATAAAATCGGACACCATGTGGTGCTTGACGACACTTTATTAGGCAGAAATTCCTCCTCTGAATGCTTCTCATAAACTAGTTTCACTTGTTACTGGGGTCTAATTTGCCTGACTTCTGGACAAAGTCCTGCACATTACGGTTCTCTTCAATAAAGGTAACCTTATGAATCTATTCTGTGGCTAGTAAGGGAACCCTTATTGGACAAAGAAAGTGACAGTTATTAATGCTTAGCCCAGAAGTAAAACAATCGAGGCTTAAAGGGTCTGTCTGTCACCAAACTGAAGGCCCCAATACAAGCTGTCTCTGTAAAGAAGAAAGTTTCAGAAGTTTCTTTAGAGACACATTTTCAGGAGTGTATATCTCCTGGTCCCCTACCATCCTCTGTTGTTCTTCCTACCAACCTCTCATCACTGTTGTGTCCTGTAATAATGTAGGGGTTGGCTGGAGATAAAGTGGGGACAACAGGAGACTGACATTCCTTGAAGTATCTGTTCTGAAGAAGCTTCAGCTGGCAGTTTTGCATCCGTGGAGCAGCTTCAGCTGCAAGAGAGGTAAATATTTATAGGAACGGCCATAATTGGGACTTTCAGTTTGGTGACAATTGCTTCAAGTAGTAAAGTGAACCTAGTGTGAGGGAAGCACACAGCGAAGGGTTTTTTTGAGAAATTAGCAAGCAACTTGTGGTGCCTGCATTTAGGATATTTATTTTAAACAGTTTAAAAAGGCTGACTGTTTTACTTTTAAAGATGTTCTCCACTTAGAGCAGGAACAGAGGAGCTCAGAAAGTTACAGCTTTCTTCTGTTGAGACAAGGACGGGGGCTCTTTGGAGCCTGAGCACTTATCTGAAATGAAATGTATTGAGTGATGAGCAGTACTGAAATAAACTGGTTGGTATAGGTTTGCTTTTGTAGAGAACTGTTCAGTTCTGCACAGATATGTGGCAGCAGCTAGACTACAAGTCTATCAGTGCTTTTTATTTCAGAATTGTGGTCAGTATTCTGACAGCCCTTGGCTTTGATCACCAAGCTGTACTACAAATCATATGAGCCCCCTCCAAAAAAAAATGACTCTTTCCTAGAGAACTTCTTTAAAATATTCACACTGACCCAGTATTACCTGCAGTCTTTTTTCTCAGTGATAGCGACATATTTTGCACACATTTGAACACATAGGTTTATTTTTCATAATGACGTGTTTAGTTTTATTGGAGTGTGATGTGTTTAGTGTAGCTGGGTCTTGTCCTTTGTGTAACACAAACTTCTACTGACTGTGTTTCCTACTCTCTAATACTTCAGTCCCAGAGTGCCTTATGAATTTTTATGCTGATGAGAGCACGAAGTGGAGTAACTAGTTAAATGTTTTGTCTGTAACATGCCACAGTGTGCCTGCATGGATTCCCATTCCGTTTTGTACTGTACTGTTCAGTTTACAACATTACCGTGCACAAATAGGCCAGTTATCACTTTGTCCATTGCATTTTGTTTAGGTTTCAAAAAAAAAAAAAAAAAATGGTCACATGAGGCACACTGGGATTCACACAGCTCTGATAACTTTCTTCTTCATATAGTTTGTCAAAGAACAACAGTTTATAAAATGTCTGTCTAAACAAGCCTGTAAACCTAGCAGCACTGGAAAGAAGTTCATGGCTTTTGCTAGTTCAGGACAGTGTCATTGATATTTTTGTGTCTTCTTACCGGTCACTGTGTTCTTTGTGCTCCAATCCTCCATGACAAGCCAGAATTCATGGTGGTCATGTTGTTTCTAGATGAGTTAATATCTCAAGGGATTTAAGGAGAAAATCCTCCCAAAACATGGCCAGAGTGGTTAAGAGGCTAATTTTCAATCTGGTGCCCTACATAACTTGGATGTTTGCCAGTCCTCACATCTTCCTAGTGTGTTATGGTGGTCCTTTCCAGCAGTTCCACCTACTGCATGTTGAATGACACTTTTCCACATGACTTGAAAGAAAATTCCCAGGTGTCATTGTCATTTCATTCCTGCATGATTTGGTACTTAATTACACCTGTGTCACACTGACTAGCTATTGAGTAGATGCTCTGTCAAGGCCACATGCACACTGTTGGTTTGACCATGTGTGTCACATCACAGTGTTTTTGGGCACCCATGAGGTTTAGGTGCTGTGTCCATCCCCTCCTGCCAGCAGCCTGTCAAAATCTAAAAGGCTGAAATACATGGCGGCTGGAGGCTGTACTGAATGGTACTTGCATTTTGGGCTTATGTCCCAGAATACATACAGTCCCAAATGCAAGAATTCTGCATTTGTGGATCTATGTCCCTGAACACACACGACTATAACATGTCCAGCTGCTGTTATTTAAGTCTGTTGTAGACTTTGACAGGCTGCTGGCAGCAGGGCTGAATGCTGCACTGGTGTCTCCTGTGTGGTTGAAAATGCCAGGATTTGCTGCAGAGGGGCTAAATTGCCTGTGTGTATGTGGCCTTACTGGTTCAGTTTTGCAACTTCTGTGTCACCTGCCATTGGACAACAAAGGATCAGTGTAGTGATACTGAGTGAGCAGACATGTACCACAGGAAGCTGGAATAACTGGGCATAGGAAGGCAAGTAAAATAGTACATGTAGATTAAGGACCTCCCTATTGCAGATATACTGCTACAGGGCGGTACCTGTGCGTAAAATCACATATATATATACATTATTTTGCATTTATGGGTAGGGAGCGCGCGCAAGCCCTACCGGCGCCGCCATTTGCGGCTGTAGATGTCAATCATCAGGCCTCGGCCGGTAATTACCCACTGGCGCCCAGTAATTACCGAGCATCTCCGACGGGGAGGAAGATTGTTTTGTTTACAAACTATCTTCCTCCCTGTCAGCTTGAGCACACTGCTTGGGATGGCTGTGCACAGTATAGCCATCCCTATCAGTGTACTTACAGTGAAGAACACCCCGCTCCTTAGTAAAACACGCACAGCTTTGATCGCCCCTCACATTAACCCCTTCCTGCCCAGTGCCATTAGTACAGTGTCAGTGCTTTTGGAGTATCAGTGCTTTTAGTACAGTGTCAGCTCTGGCACTCTGCTTTGGATGGCTGTGCACAGCACAGCCATCCAAAGCAGTGTGCTTACAGTGAAGAACACTGACACAGCCCCCTAGTAAAACACTCCCAGCACACGGGTAACCCTTTGAGTGCCCTCATGTTAACCCCTTCCTGCCCAGTGCCATTAGTACAGTGTCAGTGCTTTTTGTTTTAGCACTGATCACTGTATTGGTGTCACTGGAGCTGTCAGTAACACCAAGTTAGTTCCCCCCCGTGTCAGAATGTCCACTGCAGTCCCGCTAAAAGTCTGTGATCACTGTCATTACTAGTAGAAAAAATCCCATTATCTATACCGCCATTTGTAAACGCTATAACGTTCACTTAAACCAACAAATTGACATGTCTTTGCAAACAAAAATCCCAATACATGTCGCAGAATACATTTTGGCCTAAATTTATGACGAAATTTGATTTTTTTAATATGTTTTTAGTGGACATGTTTAATAGCAAAAAGTCCAAAATGTTTTTTTTTCTCAAAATTGTTGGCCTTGCTTATAGCGCAAAAAAATAAAGAAAGCACAGGCAATCAAATACCACTGAAAGAAAGCTCAATTCGTGGGAAACAAAAGCATGTAAATTTCATTTTGGTGCAGCGTTGCATGACCTCACAATTGTCCATTACAGTAACGCAGCGCCGTAATAGAAAAAAATGGCCTGGTCATGAAGGGGGGAGGGTAAATCCTAAGGAGCAAGTGGAGCTAAGCTTGACTTTTTTTAATGGTCCCCATCCCCCACTGGTACTGACATCTTCTGCTGGGTGCTTGTTGTTTGGCCAGCGCAGGATGATGTCACTGCTGCACATGGGCATGAATCGGTCAGCCCAGCACAGGGACTGTGCCACTGATGTAAGCGGAGTTTACATACTGGAGAAGATGGTGAGCAGGTAGGTGTATTCTGCTAGAAAGAGTCTGCATGCTCACACTTTGACAGCGGAACTGGCGCAGCCGTGCTCACTCTGTTCTTGCCATAAGCAAGCAAAAAGAGTAAAGTTAACCATCTGCCATATTGGGATGACCTACTCAGGCTGCTAGTATTTTCCATGTCGAACTGGCACCCACTATGTGTGGCGAGCTTTACATCCTGCCCTTCTATAGTTACAGGGTATGAGATGAAAACTGGACTGTTTGGGAAATTATACCTTTTTTTTATTTTTTTTTTTTTTTTTTTTAATGAACTGTATGTTGGATAACACTATATGCACCATTGTTCCAAACTAGCATTTCCTCTTATTACTTTATTTTTTTGTTGCTGAAAATGATGAAACAGAAGAAAATGTATATGGACAAAGACATGGTGGAGAACACTTAATGTGTGTAAATAGAAAAGGACAAATATCAGAAAATGTGTGGAGCTCTCAAACAAAGGTCAACCTCTAATGCTTAAAATTAAAATGCCTTTAATTAAGAGAGCTTCAGTAAGGATGTAGATTGCCAGTAACAGTGCAGTGCCCACTTATTTCTTTAAAGGTGAAGTATGGAATTATTTAAAAAAACAAACACACATACTCCCCTCCATGCTGCAGGATTGTCTGATGCTGCAGTTTTCCCCCACCAGCTCTTGATTGCTGATTGCTCAGTTTTTGGTCAGCTTTGATAGTCATTGCT